TTGGTTGCAGATTGTTTGTAGAATATTCCGAAAGATGTCACTGCTTCTGTAAATTAAATCTTATAAAACTCGAAAAGCAACAAGTATTTAAATTATTATATTGAAGTAATAATATAAGATTCATTCGAGCACTAATCTGATATGTTTATTAATTAAAATTAGAATGTTTTTTTTCTTCCTTCCCACTTCTTCATTTGGTTTCCGCATTACGCGCCAACAAGCTAGCCACTGTCTGTTGAGTCAAAGACAAATACAAAAATAACACTTATTCTTCTGATTTCTTCTTCCGCCCAAATAATTAAAGTAAACAGCTTCTTCCAATAAAACCATAACTTCTTTCTTCAGCATAAATAATCAAAATAAACAACTTCTTCTAACGAAACTAAAAATGTAACTAAGTTCCCAGAAGAATGTTATAAAGTTGATCTTGAATATACACGGATTAGAATAGGTGCAAATGTTAATATGTAGCTCCAATGGTGTCCTCATAATTGATTAGCAAACTTTGGTATTTCACAAATGAGTTGGGGAAATAGCGTCTTCGAAAGTAGCCTGTATTTTCGTATACACCAACTCTCAGAAGAGTTTTGGACATTAATGTTGATCTTGATTATAGAGAGATTAAAACGAGTGTAAATACAGGTTTGTAGCTACAATAGCGTCGTCACAATTAATTATCAAACTTTGGTATTAGATAGTTAGGAAAACAACGTTTTCGAAAATGGCCTGTATTTTCATAAGCACACGCTTCTAGAAGAATGTTGAAAATGAATATTAATCTAAAATATAAAGAGATTAAAATGAGTATAAATACAGGCTTGAAGCTACCATAGCTCGGTCACAATTATTAAACGTTGGTATTAGACAGTTTGGAGAACAACATTTTCGAAAATGGCCTGTATTTTCGTAAGCTTGCTTCTAGAAGAATGTTAAACATGAATGTTGATCTAAAATAGATAGAGATTAAAATAAGTGAAAATATAGATTGATAGTTATATAAAATACTTTTCCAGTATTTTCAATGCATCTAGCATTCAGAAATGTTTTCTAATCTCTAAGTATCATGTTGGAAGCAACAATAGAATCTACAGGGTTCATAGTTGTTATCCATCTTCTTAATGAAGTAATATGTTTTGGTCACTTTCAGTTAAGGTTTCCACTATTTTCATATTGCTATTAAACAATGCTTTCCATTTTTTGGAGAACTTAAGGTCGTCAACTATACATTAGAGGCATGTTGCTATCAGCTCCACCTAAAATAATAACAATTGTACCAATGATTGTTGACAAGTTGACTATTTACCTTTTGCAATTAATGCATATTCTGCACTGATTCAGTATATTTCTTGTAAAAAGATTTCAAGAATTGCAGTTTCTGTTGTATGTTTTCTAAAACAAAGAACTTTAGTAATCAATGGTTATTGACATGTTCCACTAGTACTTGCCTGAAGTGAAATTTGAAGATTTTCCATCCAAGGAAATAGAAGAAGGAAGCAATGGAGCCTGTTGTTCATTAATTTTGCATTGAGAACAATTTCGCCAGCTACCGCCCAGTGGTCATATGTAGATGTGTATTACAACAAGGGCCTAAAACACACATAAACAATGTTCAAACCGGGACTCTGCGACCTTTAAATTTTACTTCTGACAGTAGCTGTCAGTGTAACAGCTGTAACAATAACAGTTCGATGCACAAATTTATTTATGCTCACATTAGTCTCTGTATATTCTAGATTAATATTGATATTCAAAATTCTTCTAGGACTGAGTTTTCTTGATCAAAGTTCATTATCAAAGACGAAAACCTACTTTTTAATCAAAGTTTATATTTGTATGTTTGGTTGCCTGCACTTGAGGCGAAAAATGAATATTCCATTTGTGATAGCTGACGCCATCTGTTAGCCAAATTTCAAAGGTTGTAGTTCAGGCATTTTGGCGCTGCACAAAGTCCACTGCCTTAAAAACGTTATAATTTTAATAAAAAAAACATATCAGAATAGTACTCGAAATAATCTTATGTTATTAATTAAATATAATAATTTTAATGCTTATTACTTTTAGAGTTTCATGCGATTAAATTTACAGAAGCAGAGACATCTTTCGGAATATTCCGGAAGCAATCTGCAACCAAACATACATATAAACTTTGATGAACAATTAGGAAAACAAAGTCTTAGATAATGGCCTGTATTTTCGTAAATATGAGCTCCCAGAAGAATATTATATATGAATGTTGATCTTGAATATACACAGATTAAAATTAGCGTAAATATTAGTTTGTAGCTGCATTGGTGTCTTCATATTTGATCAATAAACTTTGGTATTTAACAAATGTGTTGGGAAAATAACGTCTTCGAAAATGGCTTGTATTTTCGTATACACCAACTCTCAGAAGAATTTTGGACATTAATGTTGATCTTAATTATACAGAGATTAAAATGCTTGTAAATACAGGCTTGTAGCTACCATAGGTCATAATTAATTATCAAACTTTGGAATTAGACTGGTTGAAGAACCTGTACTTTCCATCTCTCAGAAGAGTTTTGGGCATTAATGTTAATCTTGAATATAGAGAGATTAAAACAAGTGTAAATACAAGTTTGTAGCTACCATAGCTTAATCACAATGAATTATCAAACTTTAGTATGAGATAGTTTGGAAAAGAACGTTTTCGAAAATAGCCTGTATTTTCGTAAGCACTTGCTTCCAGAAGAATGTTGAATATTAATATTGATCTATAATATACAGAGATTAAAATAAATGAAAATATAGATTGATAATTATATAAAATAATTTTAGCCTTTTTCTGGGAATTTGCTGAAAATAAACATTTTTGTTTTTCCAGTATTTTCAATGTATCTAGCATTTAGAAATGTTTTCCAGTTTATAAGGATCATGTACGAAGCAACAATAGAATCATGGGTGGTATAGGGTTCATAGTTGTTATCCATCTCCTTAATGAAGTAATATTTATGGTTACATTCAGCAGTTAAGATTTTCACTATTTGCTAATGAAAACTGGTAGTAAAGAATGCTTTCCACTTTCTGGGGAACTTGAGATCATCAATTATACATTAGAGGCATGTTGCTATCTGCTCCACTTAAAATAATAATAATTGTATGGATGATTCTTGACTACTTACTTTAACTATTTAACTATTAACAATTAACAATTAATGCATTCTTATATGAAGACACTCTTTATGTAAAATATGTACTTCTGCAGTTTCTGTTATATATTTCTCAAGCCAAAGAACTTTAGTGATCGATGGTTGTTGCACCATGTACTTCATGGGGGAGGGACTTGCGTTTTGATTCCGCCAACTCATTAAAGCTTAATAACTTTCTTATTAATTGACCAAAACTAATTTATTTTATATCAAACGAAAGCAAAATAATTCATTTTTAGCACAGTACATTAAAAGTTTCAAATATATATGAATGCAACTATTTATTTAACTATTTTTTTCAATTTGCTGTAATACCTTCACGTTTTTTAAATTATTCGATTACCACTCGTGATAATTAAACAATCTAATACGCAAATTAAAGGCTAAACTACAACCTTTCCAATGTCGGCATAGTGTTTTGATCAGTACATCTACTATTAGTTATCAAAATTAAGCATTTTAATTTCATTCTCAATTCAATTTGCGAGGTAATTACATAATCGACCACTCGTATGAAAGCTAAATGTCTCACCTTTCCAACGAGCCTACTTACATCTTCGTGTTGTCATCGAGTCATTCCTCAACAACCCCTTAAGATAATTACGTAACCGACCACTCGTATTAAAGCTGAATGTCTCACCTTTCGAACGCGGCTACATACATGACGTGATGTCATCGAGTCGCCTGCTGTGAGCGGTAGAATGCTTTTTTTCCGTTTTTACAGTTTTTCGTGAATTTCTCGACAACCCCTTAAGATAAGATAATTTATTCAATAGTTGTCCATTCAAGTCCTTTCCTCTCGTCACTCTGCATAATTATCAATGACAAAGCTTTACATGATGATGTTTAATTGTATAAGTTTGTTTATTTCTTTATTGAATTGTTTATAATAGATTCTTAAAAACATTTTTTATATATGATTCGTCCTGAATGATTGCCTGAGAGTTAAATCCTGGGGCCGATGAATTTTCATAACTTAAAAGCTGTGAAAGGTGCAGAAAACTCATTTAAAATCCTAACAGCTTGAACTTATCCAGGACATGGGGCGACCTCTCTAACCAGGACGTCCAGTCATTTCCAACTGGCTTACAGAGAGCGTGCAAATTTGCTAGAAACTTCCTTCAAACTAAAATCTCAAAATCGTCCTTTAAAAGTTACAGTTTACTTTAATACCTTAAAAATTCAAAACTTTATAAATTCGAATTTATTGCAGTGTCTTTGATAGTTTTGCCGATAATCTCAAAATGAGAATTGAATGTGCACGTAGCAAGGATCTGCTTACACTGTTGTCCTTCGGGAATTGCACGAACGTTGACAGTTATTCCTTACGGGAAAATACGGCCGTTAATTTAATGGTTCCATTAAAATATCTTTGTCGTGCCGACGAGGTAGCATTACATTAATTTTGTAATAAATACAAATTGCTGTTCGCATGATTTGTGCCGATGAGGATTAAAATACTTGTTGCTCCATGCGACGACCGAACTTTTTTTTTTGTGTGTGTTTTTTTTATTCTGATTCACTTTAAAACATTGAAAGCGTTCAAACAGATACATTATTCCTAATGATTACACGATCATTTGAGTACGTTGATTGATGATTTTTGAAGACACGATAAATGATAACGCGCATTTGGCAAGGCTTTTACTGAGATTGGAACGATTAAATAAAAATGGGGGATGATTGTCTCTTTTGCATCTCTTGTAGACTATATTAACCATTCTAAACATATTAACAAAAAAGAACATATTTTTTCAGCTAAAAAGTTTAGTAACTGAAATAGATAAAAATAATAGGAACATTTATTTTTTATTTTTGATGAAATTTTTAAAAATGAACTGTAAACTAAAAAATAAATATTTTTATTATTTCAGCTAATAATAAAATAATTAAATTTATTACAATTTTTTAAGAAAACAAATCAATTTTAAGTAAAAATTGTAAATACGTATTTTAAAAACTTTAGAACCAAATTAGAATTGATGTAATTAATAAATTTTATTTACTCTTAATTTAAATAAATTTCTACATATAAAATGTTAAATATAATTACTTTATATACATTTTTTTTTATAAAGGAATAAAACATTACGCTGCATTTATCTTATATTAACTCAATTCTGAATAAGCTTTGTTTAAAATGCCAAAGTAAATCACATTTCCTTTAAACATACTTTTATTTGAAACTTAAAAGGATTCTGTTTGTCACAAAAAAAAAATCCGAGCATTTCACATATTACTGCTTTTCAAAATCCCATCTAAAGCATTAAGCTATTTTAATAGAAAAAAAAATGTTTTAACGGTCAAACAAGCTGTTTGTAACAAACAAAAATTACATCAAAAGGTAGTAAAGTTTTAATTCATAGCGAGTTTAATTTAATTTTTGTTTTTTTTTATTTGTACGTCGTTCCATTTTATTCATATTTTCATCCCCCGTTTTGCATGATGATGACCATCAAAGTGGAAACACCCGGTGACAGAGAACCGTAATTTTTAATTATGCATTTTGAAGGCTCCATAATTACTGCGACGTGCATTTTTACGGGGTCAGCTTCGCCGATATCGCTTGAATATAAAGGGAGGGGGGTTGATGGTTTGGGGAATATTTCACCCCTCGTTGTTATTTTTTTGCTCCTCATTGTCCCCCCTATTAATTTCCTACTTATGTCTCTGGGCGTCCCCTCAGAGACATGGGATGGACCAGGGTGATAACAAACTGGACTCGCGAGGGTGGGAAGAAAAATGAATTCTTCTTCTACCCTCTCCGTCTCTTCTGCTCCACTCTCATCAGATTTTTTGCTCTCTACATCTTTTCTCAGGCGAGAATGGGAATGCGGCGAATATATATATATATGGTCAATACTTCGCAAAAGGGCTGCATGGAACGTGGGAAGTTTCAAAAGAAAGATTGAGTGTGACAGGTTCCTAAAAGTTGCTGCGCCAGAGGTGTATAGGATGGCAGATAAAACTAGTGACAAAGAGATAAGTAACAATAGGCCCATGAAAAGGGGGCGCTAATGTCTAATCCATAGTCGCGATACATGCTGCTGAAACCATTTGGGCACTACTACTACTACTGAATCCGATACAAAATTGATTTCTGCACTGAGGAAATATTATACTACCCGGAGCACGATTCGGCAATAAAATACGATCACCACGCCATAGTCTTTATTAAAATTCCTTCGTCGGGCTTTACATAAATCACGCTTCTTAAACATGTTTACGCTGGTAACAGCTTCACACCGGTTGCCTGCATTTCATGGTCTTCCAATTTCCAACAGTCTTAAATCCGAATGCCACAACAAGGATTGATCCGTCACATATTTTTTTTTTAATTCCTTGGACACGAGACAACATTCCCGGGAATTTAAAAATATAATATAAAATATTAAATTCTTTTTTAGTACTTTATATTGATCACGTTTCAGCTTCTATATTTAAAGTTCTCTGGTCTTTGTCACTCTCACTCCCCAAAATTCCCGGGAAACAACCATATCAATGTAAATATTTTTATTCTTTATTTAAATTATTTATTAATACTTCAATTATCCTTTGACAATTAAAAGTAGCACAATTTCAAGAATTACATAAAACTTTATGTAAATATTTATTTAATTCTTCACTTATTTTTATTATTTCATTTATGAATATTTCAATTATCTAAAGTAAATGCATTCGTTTTGTGCTTTTATGTAAAGCTTCACCATCCCTTGATTATTTTTCATCTCATATCGAATAACTTCATCATCGTAGTATGATAATAAAGTTTATTTGTACGTAATATGATTATACTCCACGTAAATGGAATATAGGGATTCCTCGATATTTTAATATGATTTCAGCGAAATTACATTTATATAATCAGAAAAGGGGAAATTTTATCATATCAACGAAAAACGCCAAAACAAAATTTTTCACAGTCAATATATGATTTTTTTTAGTAATGTAACAAAAATTATTTTACTATGGTTTCCTTTCAAAAGAAATAAATATTTGTTAAAAATGAAAAATGTAATTATTTTTAATTAATTTATATAATTATTAATTAAATACATTAAATTTATTTAAAGTTAATGCTGAAAAAATATTTAAAAACAGGGATCATCTATGTTTTGTAGTGAAAACGTATAAATTCATATCTAAAGTACTTTAAAGTTATATAAATCATTTACAAGTATAATTCTCAGTTGAAAAAGAGTGAAAATAAAAGTACAAGGAGAAAAACATAAACAGAATCCACTTTGCTCTTTTACGACGTTGTCTGAGTCTCTTGTCGCATTTTCGTTTTCCTTTCACCGTTTTCACTTTGCGAACATTCGTTTTAATTGATTAACTTCGTCCGCAGGTCCCCCTTTACGAGTTGTCCTACACAATTTTTCTGTTTTTACTGCTCCCACAACTGTTAAAATAAAACGAAAGATAAATAAATAAAAAAGAAAACTAGAATACAAAAAACTTTTGTTCATGGACAAATGATGGTTTCGCGATTTAGGTAAATACGAGCACGATAGTGCAGTTAACGTAGGGACCTTTAACTTTTATCACTGTTGACGACGCTCGGAATTTTAAGAATTTCACCTTCAACCTCTCAAATATTAAGCGGAAACTTCTCCGTGTCGACGTCGCTTCAGTGCATTTCGCTAAACGTTCTCTTTCGTTTCTTTATTTCCCTTCGTTTTCACCTTGCCCATTTCGACGACTTTAGAATTTCTGAAATATTAAAGCCATTCTTCTCCATGCATGCATACCATAAGCAACTCATAACTTCAAAATAAATTATTCCTTGGATTATAGTATAATATTATTTTAAACATACTCAAAACTTTATTAATTAAAAGTTTAATTTAATTAATAATAATTAATTATAATTACTTACTACTAGGTCAAAAATAATGTTTTAATTTTCAATTAATTAACCTTAATATTTGGCAAAAAAAAGCTTTGAAGATTGAAGCATATTTTATTGTATTAAACATAACTAATACTGTTGCATTGAAGGCTTGGTAAGATTTGACATAATGTAATTTGTCAGTTATATAACAAGAAATAAGTAAGAACTTCTCTGTCTCCGCAATTCTGGTTAAACATCAAAGTGCTTTGCTCCGAAACACGCACATTCCTTAAGATTAAATGACGTCGAACTTATAATTACAAAGTTTGTAGAGCATACTTTTTCTTTTGAAGAGTATCGGCATCAGGTACTCGCTTATGCCTTCACATTTCGCTTCTATCCCCGTTATACGTCGAAAATTGGAGGCGAATTACGACGTATAATAAAGGCTGGAACAGATAACAAAAAAAGAGAACGCACGAATTGATTGTGATGAATACGAGCTTATTTCCGAAACTCCTAACCGCTTTAACTTCTGCCCAGATACGTACACACGCGAAACGAGATAATGTGTGGTCGTGTGCGGGTTGAGCTACAATGAAGTTGAAAACTTCTGAAACTACATAATGGTACCGAAATTGTGCAAAACAAGTGAATATAAAAGAGTGGGTACAGCATAGATTTCAGTTGTAAAAAGAAGTTAAGTACCTTTCATTGTTGCACTATATTATAATTACGTAACTTTATAATTTTTTTATAATACGAAACTTTTTATGCAATTCACACAATCTTTATAAACCGATAACTTAATTACCTTTCATATAACTAAATACATAACAATAGTAACTTACAGTTAGTTATATGGTAATTTCATATAATTATGTTATGTAATAGAATAACTAATTTCAATACCAACGTTTACATAGAACTTAGTGTTTCGATTTAAATCAAATTTTTTCTGCATTAATTTCTTTAATTGTAGTTTTACATTTAAATAAATTAATTGTTAAAAAAAAATATTAAAATTATAAAATATTTTGGCTAAGAAAGAACTTGTACCTTTTATACTTTATTATTTTCTTATGTTATGTAACTTTAACATTAGAATTTCTTGTAAGCATTTTCAATAACAACGTTTACATAGAACTTAGTGATTCTTTATATATACATTAACAAAATTTATTGGTCAATTTCTTAAATTATAAAAGTTGTTAAAAAATATCAATTATAGAAAAATATTTTTAAAAAAATCTGATGATGTTTGTGAAACTATAAATAATTAGAAATGATCCCTTTGTCCTATCTGTATAAATTACGAGGAAATAATGGGATCTTCACTTACGTTTTCAATTAAAAAGGAATTTAATAATCCATCCAATATTGAAGCTCAAAGCTCAGAAAACGTCCCCGTTTTATTTACAAGCGGATGCGGACAAAATCAATTGGAATTGCCGTTCGATGGTTGGACTCGAGAAGGAGCCAATAATTACCTGAATGCGATCCGAAATTACTTACAAACGAAATTACATAGAGATTTTCCCTATTCTCTTTCCATCCACCCTTCGAATCCTGTTACATAATACGATTTTGGTGGAAACACATTCTATGCAAATGCTACACAAATTTATAAAAAATACAGTTTTTAGTTTTATTAATAAATTATTAAACAATTATGTTTTTGTACTGATGAATTAGCGGAATATATAACAAATGAGTAGTGAAAATGAAAAATATGATGTATTCGCCTAAGCTGGGATTTTTTAATTTAATATTTAATGACTCCCGTGTTTGCGAATACAATTATAATAATAGTAATTCCATTAAAAAGAGGGACATAATTAATTTATTATGCCAGAAGAAAGTATTAAATTAGCACACAGCGGGGGATGATTTCCATTAGAGCTTTCAGTGTTTATTTCCTTTTACTGAATTTTTTTTAATGGCTGAAATGTAGAATTTCAAAATGTATTTTAATTTATGTGATTTTTAGTATTATGGAAAATATTATTTTTTTTTTAGGTTTAAGCAGTTTAAATATGAATGTTTATGTTTTTTTGGTTAAGCTTAGATTAGGTTTTGTTAGTCATTATCTAAAATGATCTAAAAAGTTGTAAGATTCTATAGTGATCTTTTGAAAACAGTAAAAAAGTACCGTGATCTACGAAACTATTTAGAATATGTGGTCTATTGTAATCCAATGTAATAGGTTAGGAATAGGTTTTTATAATAATACTATATAATGATATCCAAAATAGCTAACGTCTGTGTTGTCCTTGAAGTTTTTTTTTTTTTAATTTGAAGTATATCGTCGTCTTATGGTGCTCCCAAAAATTATATAATCTGTTAAAACAGTTACAATATAATTGTGTGCCTATACATAAATAGGATGCTCCGAGCTTCAATTAAAATCAATGAAAATGCTTTAGCTTTACTTTTTGTTTCGCATTACTTGCGCCGCCGGATTTAATTTATTTCCTTGTTTTGGGGCGGTCTAAACTCATTATCCGCCCGTATTGCTCCAATTGTAAACAAACTAACGTAGATAAAAGAAACAAATACAAACCTTGCTTTAATCCGGATCAATAATGGAATCAGAATAGCTGTATCTTCTTGGCTTTACATATAAAACATTTCCCTAAATCATATGCATATATATAGGTTTGATTGTGAACAAAAAGAGATTCTTCGATACATTATTATTCAAACAACTCGTCGAAAATTTACCACTTTCTTATTTGTTTCCGCTTAAAAAGGAAAATGATAAATAAAGGTTGATTGGGAAAAACATATTTTTTTTAAATTTATATTATTTAATAAATAATGTGAGCTATATATAAATCATAAAATTATTTCCAAAATGTACAAATTTTTGCCCTTGGGCCAAAATTAGGGCCTTTATTTTTGTTCAAAATAAATAAATGAAATAGATACAATTATTATTATATAATAGGAACAAATCGAAACAGAAAGATAAATGTTAAGTGTTATGGAGAAGAAAGAGTAAGAGGGGACATTTAGATATACCATATATTATATAATAGTTATGATAATATTATCTTAGTTCAGCAATTGTATCGTGATTACAGTTATTTACATATAGACATTTACATATACACAAATTATAACAGCATGTATAACATATAAAAACTCGGGGTATAAAATCTCTGGATGGTCATAACAATCAAATTCCTTAGCGAAATCAACGTTCGTATATATAATTGTAAGTTTTAAACAAATATATCTGTGAACAGACGAGTCAGTTCTATAAACTACCAACGTAACAAATGGGTTGACGTTTTTTTTAGGTATGGGTTGGGGATAAAAAGGGGGATGATATGTCTGGGCTCGGCGTGACATATCTCGAGCGAAACGCTAAAGCTATTGTATACAACATCATATATATACTGGGTGGTTCAAAGAAAACCCCAAATACCTCGATGTCCATTGAACATATAAAGACACACATATACACATCGAATAACAAAAATAGGTATTTCAGGTCGGACGCGGAATGACATCGCCGACTACGAAGAGGTATAACCATTGACATTTTGCTGACAACACCAACCTGTACACATATGAGGAATATTCCGGGCTTAATAAATATATATATATTATTTGTTTGTTGTACATATGCTTATTACATTAATATAACTAGAGATTATTTTAAAAACACGTGAACTATTTGATGCTTATATCCAGTTAAATCTATCCTCAACATATAACACCAATACATTGTTTAGGAGTTACGCGCATTATGCTGCAGATTAAAGGTATCTAGTATGTTAGTGGAGTATGGTTTATGCAAAAGGTGGCTTGTACGGATTGTATCTCGGGATTCTCATTAAAAGTGTGTCACATATATTTAGGTATGCATTAAGAGAAACGGGATTATCCCATTCGTGTAAATCTAAATTTATCCAATATTTGCCTACTAACAAGTTTTTGTTTATATATATATAAATATATTGTTGATTAGTTTCGTAAACTGCCGCGTTTGTACGCGTCCAATGCATAATGGAAATACCCGTCCCAAAATTTACATTAACTATTATATATTATAATGATTACACAACAATCAATGGACAAAGTTTGAATGATTACATCTCTTCGATTTTCTAATAACGGGTTTGTATGTTAATTTTTTTTTCCCACTAAATGATGGATGATTTAGCATTTGATAGACCCTGCATATATATATTTTCATATATTAATATGATAGTCGAAAGGAGGAGAATTTGGGTGTGCTGATAGCTCTAAATCGGTATTGACTCAGGTTCAGGTACAATCTTTCGTTATTACAGTTTCACACCCTTCTAGTACTCGTTTAGACTGTGACCTCCTCTGTGAATCGACTCTTATCGTCCAGATTGATGACGATGGCATGTGTCCTGGCGTGGCCGGATTTAAGGACCCGTCCGTTCCTGCTACTAGCGCTATCGATGCTGGATGCTGGAGACTTCTCCTCCTTCAACTCGATGGATGTTTTCGATGTAGTATCAACAACTGGTTCTATGAAAGATGTACCTGCTTCCTTAACTGTGGATGTAGATGGCTCCTTATCATCGATGTCAGCAAAAGAAACGCTTTGTCTTTTAGTTTTTATTGTAACCACTGGTGGAGATTCGATATCGATGCTGGTTTCTTCTGCGATAGTTTCTACAAATTTCGGAGCTTTCTCATGATCATGTCTACTAGCGGCGTCCTGCATTGCTGTAATTTTCGAAGCCAAATGCCTATTTCCAACTCTCATATTCTTCTCCTTCAGTAATTCCAGTTGGGTGTACAAACGGATGAATTCCTCCTGAACATCGTGTTCAGTCATCTTGGAGCATTCCAATCCTGCGAGCGATGAGTTAGTGCTAGTATACTGAGAGTTTCCGGATCGACTTTTTCCTAAGAACTTAGAAGCGTGGGTCTTGGACATCATTCCTGAGCTTTCATCGGTCTTATCGTGTCCTTTGAATACCATATAAGCCTAAACACAAACAATTGACTTACCCATAACCAATCTTTAATGTATAAAATACTTTACCTTGCTTCCGAAGATCAAAACGAGGAGAAGAGTGATGGTCAATTGAGTGTGGCAAAAGAATATGATGTAGAGGAGGTCTGGATTGGCAGGTTTCTGCAAGAACAACCTAAGAACAGAAATTGTTTCCGCTCTTCACATCGAAATACTTACATGGATACGTTGAGAAACACGTTGAGAAGAAACTCATTGTAGATAGCCATAGAGATGAAGCGGCTTTCGTTGAACTCGGACGGGGCCTTCCTCACAACAATGCAAAGCCGTATGCCCCACACCAGGAACACGACCTCCACTGAAATACCCATTCACGTATTGATTCATTGCAAACAGTATCCATTCACGGGAAAAATTTATACAACAACTACAGAAAATTTCGCAAACAATAACAGAACGAAAAAAAATGGGGAGAGAGAGAGAGAGGAACAAAATATTCATCCGCAGACAATACGGTAAAAAAAATATATTTTTCTCGTTTTCAGAAGGATCAGGTAAATTTTTCACATTACAAATATTATTTAGCTTCAGCATTTCCAGTGAAAATTGATGATTAACTATGAATTAATTTAATTAGATTATTATACTAATAATAGGTTGTTTTGATATAATGTATGGGATACAACTGTAATGCTATTAATACCGCAAATCTGGTTAATTGGCAATTTATTCGGATTCGGTACTGCATAAAGGATATTTGTGAAAATAGGGGAGTAAATAATGTTGTGCAAACTATGTAGGCGCATTACAAGGTATTAATATGGGCCTGTTTAACTACTACTCTAATCATTCACCCCAAAGATTGATAGCACCACGGCGCCGTTGCACAACGTGATTGATCATTTATGGCACAACCCATCTCCTCCTTCGCTTAATTAATAAAACTTTTCCGAAAATTTAATAAACAACAAAGAAAAAAGTAACCTGACGGAGCAACAAGAAACTGGAAACATGCAAATTTTTCAAAGCCCTCGTTTTATTAATTAAAGCAGAAACGTGGCTTCATCCGCCACAAAAACATGTAATGAAAAGTCTTTTCATAATTTACATTACATATATTTTAAATGATCATAAATAACCATTGTACTTTAAATGTTAATTAGATTAAAACTTATAAAGTATTACAATCATTTAATTTTGTTAAAAAGAATAATTAAAACTTATTGAAAATTTTTAAAAAATTACTTAGATGTTTTATTAAGGATTTCTTCAAAAAGAAATCAAAATTAAAAAGTGAATCCTATAACGAAGGCTGACATAAAGCTGATAATCTGCTGATGAGACTAATTCATAAAAAAATGAACTGTGGAGTTTCTCCAAACTAAATTTTGTTTATTGATACAAAGCTGATAATCTGATGATAAGACTAATTCATATGGAAATTGAAGAAATTTGACAGTTGAGTTTTCTGAATCGTAATCATATAACGAAACATGTGTTTATTGATAAAAAGCTGATGACGAGTTGATAATCTGATGATGAGACTAATTCATAAGAAAATTGAAGAAATTTCACAGTGGAAATAATTGGTAAAGTAGAAAATGCGAGGTAAGGAATCGAAGGCCAATTTTCCTGTTGATTTATGCAGTTTAACTTGGAGTAGAATAGAGAGAGAAACAAAAAATGATGTTGAAGCTAGAATAGTCAGATTATTGATCCGAATTCCTTTTTGTATTTTCTAAAAACTCATCAAGTGTGATAATAATAAAAGCAGATCCATCCCCTATTTGCAATGAAATCTGCTGAAAGCTGTTGAATGCTGAAGGCAAACCGATTACAATTCCGCAATTGATTGATCCGCCATTAAAAAGTGTAATTGAAAATGTGTGACTGGATTCGAGGAAGTGGATGGGTTTTGGAAATTTCACGGTCGCAAAGATACTTTAATTGGAAAATGCACCAAAAGGGACGGGCCGTTGCGCAAAAGGGGCGCTGACCTTTGTGAGCAGAATAGACGGGAACAGCAATATTTAGTGTCGAAATTAATGAAATGTTAATATTATATGTTTTAGTTCCAGCGGCCCGTGCCAAATGAAATATGCACGCATGGTGACGGCTTGATATGCATTGCGTCATCAAATCATGTACGTTAATAGAGCTTCGGTGAAGTTCCAACATTGAGAAAACCCATGCAAATGTTTCCGGTAAATCCGGAAATTATTGTAATAACCGTTTTATAATTAGCAAGTTGTATATGTTCATTTGTATATAGAGATTGTAATTTTGTGGGAGCAATTAATACTTTATTAAATGGGAAAGCTTGATTTCAATAACAGTTATTTAGTGCGTTTAATTAATATAGAATTTACTGCGAATAACAACATTAATAAAATACATATTAAATTCCGTCATCAAATTTGAACTTTATTGATTGACAAATATACGATATTAATATTTGACTATTTTTTTTTTGTTATTTTAAAACAAATTGACAAAAAATAATTTAAAATATTTCAATATTTTTGAAAATTTTTGGTTAAACCGCAAATACATTTGACGTTGATTTTATCCTTTGCAAATTGTATATAATAAGAATATGTCCTTTTCTATTAGTTGACTTTTATGAAATTATATATATTTATTTTGTTGTTTTTATTTTGTATGCTTTTTTTAAAACTGATGCAATAAACACTATTATTAAGAATATGTAAATGAAACTAGCGAACTAAGATAAATTAAGTGTAATATTGTGTAAGGAAATTGTGCTTTCTTAGAGGGAAAGTTTTATTTCAATAAAACTTCTTTACTGCGTTTAAGGAAAATAGAAGTAACTCGTGACAGAAAATAATAATAACAATAAAATATATATTAAATCTTCTGGAGATTCATGGCGTAATATATTTGCAAAAAATATTACGGGCATAAACAAAAGTAGTTCCAGTGCGCACCGAATGCATGCCGAGAAGTTTTTCCCATAATTCACCTGTTACAAAGTTGCTGTATATTTTTCACACCGCACAAAACCAAATAAATTTTTACGGTGCGTTGGGCCTCGTTGATGCGTCTTTTCATGACCTTCTTCTCCGTACGTTCGCCGTTCTTATTAATACTGAACTTTAGAGAGTGCGGTTTTGCAAACACACAAGAAAAAATGAGATTTAAAGTTGCTGGGCGCCCCCGAAGTGCACTCTGGAGGGTAACTCGAGATTAGAATAAACCGTGAAGGAGAAATAAGTATAAAAAAGGGCATTCCGACCATGATAATCACTCTTCAAGAGGAGGATTCCAAACGGACGACAGGAAGTCGTCACCCTTAACAGATGCGACAGGGGACGGCGAGCAGGCGTACATACACACATATACAGGACACACATAAGGAAACAAGGACTAAAGAGTGGAAGGGAAAAACACACGCAGAGTGAGAGAGCCGGAGAATGGAATGAAATCCTCCTCTTTTCTGAGGGGATTAGAAAGGGAAACATTTACAATGTATCCCGTTGTCTCAACAATTTTACTAATGGTAAATCCATTGTTAAATCCTTGACAGCTCAGTTCGCTTCCTCTCCTCAGAAATGAGATATACAGCAACATACCAGTTCTAAATAAATCGTTATTTAACATGATCACTTCGATGTAATACATTATGAAACAAATTAAATATATTACAAATATACAAACTTCGTTCGTTTACAAAATATAGTCAATTCCGCTTAATCGAGACAGTGGTTAATCAAGACAGTCGCTTATTTGGGACAAAACCTAAAGAAAGGAAACAAAACCGAGGAAATAACAAATGTAATTTCGGATAATTGGGTTATAATTTATTAATATTTTATAATTATTACTCAATGAAAATGTAAATCAATTTTCATATTTAGACTGTGGATAATAAAAACATATTTTTGTGTTAAATTTATTATGTTGTTATTATGAATGAAATTGTGTCTGTAAATCAAATTGCAATACTTCTCGGATATAATGTATATTTATTCAATGATCTTCGAAGTTTTCCGATCACGTTTAGTATTTACATATAACCACAGCGCATATAAAATTCAATAACAGGCGTATTTGATAAAAAGGTCGCAATGCACGTGCAATACAGGAGGATTCGATTCGATATGGAATAATCAAATGAGCATTTCCTCTTATTCGAGGTAATCAATCCCGCTCGAAAGGAATCCTGCAGCATTATTATTCATCTTGTGCAATTGCATTCCACTCAGGAACACGAAAATAGTTCAGGTTTTATTTTTTATCGATACTTACGTATAATATGTTTGAAAGTTTCACGTGCAAGGTGCTTTCTTGAAATTTTCTACTAACTAAGTTTTATATCCAATCCCATTCAACTTTTGTATACATATCTTATATGCTTATAACTACTATTTTTAATAATAAATCGTATATATTTTTTTATCCAAATTAACAATATATGTATGATAATTGGAAACTTGATATTTCGGTTTTCGAAGAATTCGGTTATCAAAAATAATACGTTTATTAAATGTTCTTTCTATTCCCTATAAATATTTTCTGGTAAAACATGTATAACTATTGATAAATTGTAAAAAAAAATAATATAACCTATATATGTATAAAAAATGTTAGTGAAAAGTAATTTTATAAATTCTATAAATATTCTATAAGAATCTATAATTTGTTGATCGCAGGTAAAATTCATGGTATAATTTTGTATATGGTATGCAGGTGGGTGTAAGAAGAAGAATGCTGAGGACGTAATACCTTATGAAAAATTCAGATAATTGAGCTCCATGATATGCGGAGGCTTTAATAATTTTATAAGCGATTGCGAATTATTAAATAGAAGTTTATGCGGGATGGGCCTGGGAAGGTCCCGTTTATTAATAATTCAACATAGTTTAGAGCAAACACAAACACCCGGCGGACTACACATTATATCATGCGGCGTCGCGACGCCCGGATTCAATCTTTAACGATCATATTCATAATCCCATATATACGACAGAATTTTATCGATGTTCACATCCAATGTGCATTTTTCAGAGAGTTTTTAATCTTAGGATAGGAAAGATCTGGATTTATACCAGGACGCAGATGTTCCGAATATTGCATGAAAATTTGAAAATTATACCGCTGTTTGTTAGGAGATGAAGAATAAGACACCATTCAAATAGCTTCATTATCTTTATGATGTGAGATGAACAACTCAAGATTTTCCAATATTTTTACTTCAAACTTTAAATTAAGTAATTTAGAAAATTTATGTGCATATAAAACTTCTAGAATTTATTAATTAAATTAATTCATTTATTTTATGAGACAAAATATTGATAAAATGTAAAAAATAACCTTGAACAAAGTTTTTTCATCGAAAACCTTTAAGTTTCACGAAAAATAGAGAAAGGTTGTAGCTATTTTTTTTACGAAACATCTTTGTTATTTGCAATATGTTTTTCGTTTCAGCAATTCCTAGTCTATCCTAGCCAAAAGGTTCGACAATGATTAACAATCTCTCCTCCTTAAAATAGATTGCTTTGCTCTGACATAGACAATCTTGATCCCAATGTCTTCTATCCCAACCTATATATCCTTCAGTATGCCGACAAATCTTTACTACTTAAAATATCAGTAGAATACAACTAACTTAAAATAAACCATTCTTTGTTCATTTAATTTATTATAAAATTGATTTAAAATAACAAAAAAAAAGTTTAATTACCAACTTCTGTAGTCTGTAATTGCTTTTATTTATTTTGTTTTCATATACATATTTAACTTATAATATTTAAAAGTGCTCCCACACTACTTTTGAAAACTTTTATCTTATATATCTTTCTTTTTGACATATTTTTCAAAAAATAAGGATAATCCGGATTTACATTTTAATTTGTAAATCTACAGAAATCGCTAAATTTTTCAATGTAATTATTTTCTTCTTCATCAATCTATCTCATACAGATAAAAATTATGAACTGTTGCTGCCAATCCTTTATTATTTTTAAATTATTGCTTATTACATAACCGTACACTGTATAAATTATGAATCAATACAAACATTTACAATTTTCAATTAAAAACCTGTGTTATCTATCAAAATTGCTTCTTGCGTTAATTTTGGGACACCCTATATATGATGATGTATTACAGAACTGTACTGAAGCATTTAACATGTATATTCATAAGTTTCGGATTTATATGCTCCGGGCATACTTTACCACTTTCCTGATTTATATCGGACTTATTATTAATCATCGTCGAAGTTTTCTTGCGAGACTCGTAAAGGAATGAGATAAAAGGAAAGTCGTTCGACCTGTTGATACAACGCTGTAATTACGGAAAATGAACTTGACTGTAATTTAATGGCTTCTATTCTTAAATGGTCCATTATTTTGAAATATACTCAACCGAGCGCACCTTCGAATTCCAAATTAATGTTAATTTCAAATGTAAATTTCGCGAATATCTCAGCATACATTATTTAAAAAAAAACAGTTTTTTATACTTTTTTTTGTATTTAATTAACTATTTATTATATAATTAACATTTCGTATAATGGAGACATCAGTTTTAACATTAAAAATAACTTTTAATTTAATATTTACATATGTTTCAGTTTACATATATATTTTTATATTAATTTCTAGTATGAAAAAATAAAATCGACCAAAATATTTCTGTCTGTCTGATTTGTCGTGATTGTTAAAAAATACAACAAAAATACTGACTTTATAATTCTTTAGTTAAATGTAAATAATTATAATGTTTACTTATTCAAAATGAGAAACGTTGTTATATTGAAATAAGCTAATGACTTCGTGTTTTATTCATTTAAGAAAATTATAATTTTCACTGAGAGATGGAACTTTCTTGTTTTATTTGCGAATTTTGTTGCTTCATTCATGTTTTTTCTTGTACAAAAATCGTACAATATTTGATTTATATACAGCCATACTTCAGCTTAAAGTGGCTTCGGTTTGTCCGGATTCATAATAGTCTGGTTATATAAAAAAAAAACAAAACTTTTGAGTAAAATAAATTATTTTATTATGTATTTAATATCTTCATTAGTCTGGATTTAAACAGTCCGGGTGAAATTGATTACCCGCACTATGAGAGGTATTGTTGTATATTTAAATAATTATTCATTTTAGAGAAATACAAATTTGTAAGTGAATTAGATTTCTTTATAAATATTAATAAAATTTTATTTTTTGTGATTCTATCAAACAAAGTTTTATAATAATATTTTAATAAAATTAGTTTATTTTAATGTGTTTTAAAAGACTAACAAAAGGTTAAAGGTGAAGTGAAAATATGTTATTTACATGCATGAATTTAATCAATCAAGTCCAAATGAGTAAATTCGAGGGTACGATGAAAACTCTTGGATAATGCTCCAAAATGCAATAAACATTCCTAATTGTCGGTGTTGCATTCGGAATGTTCCGGTGCAATTTCCCTAATGGCAAATCCATTGCAGAATCCTTGACGGCTCTTCTCTCACTGTCTCTCTTAATCTCTAGCTCTTACGAGTAAGAGAATAGCTAGCTCTTGGAATAGTTTCATAATAAATCTGGATGTAGCTGAAATTTGTAGCTTAACCATCGACCAACTAAAATTACCCATCGCCTAAGGAATTTTCATTTCGGATTTCAAACGCGCCCGACACCAAAACTGAACTAGCATCCAGCAGTGTTGGCTTCCTGTATAAGAGCCACCTATGAGCGCGTGAATGGAGAAGAAATGAACTGCATTATCCGGGATATGGGCAGTAAAGACGCTCGCAATAGATTTTTATGTGACTTCTGCACGTGAACCATTCCTATATTTTTTGTACCTAGATTATCTTTGCACCAAGAAGTTGTTTCTAGACTTTTTCTTTATTTGAGCTAAAAAAATTGTTTGGATCAAACAATTTACATTTAAGCTAATATCGTTTGCAAATTTCATTTGAAACGATCCTTTTGACTTTCTATTACAGGCGTCGTTCATGTATTCTAATTGCGAATCAACTACAGTTCAACTCCTTCATAAATTGGATCGAGCTAAATGAAAAAAAAAACGGATTTATCTCCTGTCTCGATTATCTTCAAGGATTATAGTGAATGGAAACATTTAACGATTTCAAAAATATTTCATTCAGATTCATACCATTATACCGAGAAATTAGGAAAATTTACTTACAAATACTGAAGGAATGGTCCCACCAATCAGTGCGGCACAGGTAAGCCTTCAAATCATCAGCAGTTCTTCCAACAATCACTATCGGTGGAGCTACAAGAGTTCTGATCATCAGAAATACAGTGAAGATGGCAACGATGATTCCCAGACGCTTCATCAGATTCATATCGGTGATTTTGACAGCCTTGGCGGAGCGGACGCGAAAAATAACCGAAATCCTAAACAAAATTACAACATTGCATAACCTATTATTTCTTTTTCAGCATAACTCACCTCCAGGTCTTCAACATCAAAGCTCCGTAGGTTAAAGAAAAGCCAATCTCTCGAAGCCAGATCCTTGCAGTGCAGGTGTACACGCTCGGCCTTGGATACATGACGATGATCTTGCAACAAGGGTAAAAAAACTTCAGTTGATAAATGTATTCACTTCCTGAAAGTTTCGTAACTTCGAAACAAGCACAATTAACTATTGTTCTATTAAAAAAGAAAAATAAATGATCCTAAAGGAAACAACATTCACTCTTTTTATATTGAATTTATTTTACGAACTAAATTTTGTTCATCATTTATTATAAAAAAACTATTTCTTTTCTTGTCTCAAAATGTCAAGACTTCAACCTAAAAACTGAAAATCCAATTATGTAGACTAATTCATAAATAATCAAACTGAAAGTCTAAAAAAAACATTACAAAACAAAATTGAAGATAAAAAAATTAACTCTTTGAAAATTGAATTATATAATTACAATAATAGTGTATAGAAGTAGAGATTTGGAATTGTATTATTACAGAAATTTGCTTTGAAATGTATGTCTTCAAAACTAAATCAATTGACTTGAAATTGTGTTAAACTCATTGTTAAACAAAATGATAAATATCAAACGATGTGATTAATATTGTTAATAAACGTGATGATAATAGTCTTTGAATTGATCAGCTACGTTTAATACATGGACGGTAATTGTCGACGGGTAATAAACGTTAATCCAACATTTAATCCAACACTGAATTACGGATCTCGACTCATAAATAATAATCGCATGATTTAAATCAATTAAATACGATATAATTCCCATGCGTTGCTCAACTGAAAGATAATGGAACGAAACGGTTACAATAAATATTATCGTTTGAATAATTGCAAGCAAATATTTGTTTTATATCCATAAAATTCTAGTATAATTCGATAAAATACTCGTAAACTTGACCAAACTTCAGATTGAATCTAATGTTTCAATTTCATCCCCCGATTTTTATATATATTTATATATATATATTTTATTAAGAAATAAAAGAATGACAAATCCGAGTTAAATAGAGATGGATATAAAAGTTTTATTATTTTATTGTGCACCTTTTTTTTATTTCATTTCCTATAATACTTTTGCTTTATGATTATATAACGAATCGTAAAAAAGAAGTAAGTTTAAGGATAATTTAATTTTTACTATTTAATTGAAATTTCAAATAAATTTATCCTACATTTTTTTCATTAATTAATGTGTATGTAGATACAAAAAAGAGAACTAAATGTTGTAATAAAAATTACAAAGTGATTTAAATATATTTGAAAGAAAAACCAGATTGAAAGCAAATATCTGGAGGATATAAATGATAAAAGGAGATTTATTACCAATGTTTTTTTATTTTTCATAATTATATTTTTTATGTGTCTTATGAAAATATGCAATTTTATTAAATAAAAATAAATGGAATTTGTGTATCTATATGTGTCTCTTTTTAAAATATTAAAATCGAATTGCAGCTCTCTTTGGGCACATATGTGACTACCCCTATATTCAGTAACCAATGCGATGGAAGACAAATGTTTTCGATGTTCTTTCTTGATATTTTTCGTCTTCTTGATGATGATTGTTTTTATATTCAACATTTAATATGTTGAGGTTAAATAATGAAAAGCTATATGCATCGTAAACTGAATAAAATTTCACAATGAGCAACGATTTAAATAAGTAAAAAAAAGATAAAAAAAAACTGCGAGTGGGATTGTTTTCGTTCTCTCCATTAATATTTGATTCAAGCACTTAATTTGAATGCAAGCAGAGAAAAATAAAATGTGAAAGCGAGCTAATTGAAAACTCGTGGGGTTGAGAAGGGCTCCGCCATTTAATTACGCGCATGAGGGTGTATCGATCGACGACGTCCGCGTTCCCTTTGTTTTCTTTTACTTGTGTTACTTGTACCTTTTCCATTCTGCTGCTTCATCGATGAGATCAGACAAGGATACATAAATAAAGGACAACTGATGCGGTTCTGGGAAATTCCCTTTGACAGTCCCTTTAGAACGGCCGTTTCACCTGTCCAGACTAGGTACCGCGGTATACGTTCAATGCTCGAACAAGCGACAAACCTGTTGTCCTATGGTAACGGAAATAAACATCACCACAACCTATTTCATTTCCATCTCTGCTAAAAGCTGCTTTTGACGTTCTGCATCACAGGTGGTTCTTTTTTTTTCTCTCCCTAGTTTCACATTTTCACCCACATAACTCATTTGCCTAAACTACAAACTCCGAACTTGCATAGTAAGTACAAAAACCTTTCATGTATGAATGTCTCATTGAACACGCCACAATTCAGAATACATATATATATATATATCTGCGTCAAGAACAATTTAAAATAAAACACGTAATTTGCCAATAGAGACCAAAAAACCTGAGTCCTCTAACTGAATTTGGAATATTAATTAATTAATGGAATTGTGGCTTTATTAGGATTTTTATCGCTCGAAAAGTCTAATTTTCTCAGAAACTATAATAAATAGAACGGATCCATAAAATGCATATGAAAGTGGCATATGCTATGGTTTTATCCATAATAATATTTTAGTAACTTAAAAAAAAATTGAAAACTTCCTTGTGTAGTAGGAATTTATGAATAGGCGCAAAAAAATAGCGCAAACTACGTCCCTCACGTTTGAAGTTCCTTAACAAACTTCTTAAAAAGTTATGTTGTCTTAACACGTGTGAGATGAACAAAAGAAAAAAGCAGCGGTAGCATTAATAAGTAAAGGGAATGGATGACGAGGGATAATTCGCGCAAAACAATGGTGCGAAATAGAAAAAGTTGTGATTTACGGTGGATGATGTGGTTTCCTTTTTTTTTTCCTTGTCGTCGTCGTATTCGTTTTTTTTTGTGTGTGATTCAATTAGAAAAAGTTCCGGAATCGCATAAATTCCCGGTCCCCCCTTCATAAATATTACAATTGGCTGACACCCCCGGCGTCTCCGCTGCCACCGCTCACCCTTTTGTATGTCGAATGCCGCACCAGTAATCAGAACAGCAGTCACCTCCACCCCCTCCGGGCGACCCTCCTCACGAACTACTCTTCGCTCTTCGTTACGTAATGAGTATCGCGCGAAGCAAACGCCAGTAATTAGTGGTTGAAAAGACTCACCGTGCAGTAGACGAGGAACGCGCCCAAAGTTATAACCCTCAACAGTACGGGGCTGGCGGCACGTACGACCTGGAACAACCAACATTTGGTGAGTGATTTAATTAAAAATGTACACGTCGACAATCTCAGTATCAAATGCAGATCATCTTCACATCCAGCTGGGACCATCTACAGTTTAATCTACAATGAACAACAACTCCAATTACTTCAAAGTATTATTATATATACAAATTCAAAGATTTTACATTCATCGGATCCCAATTCCCCATTCTGCGACATTAAATTCCTCAACAGAATATATATTCGAACAAGAAATATTAATGTTCGATAGGGATAGATGTATTAAATATATTGTCAGAGCTTATTTCAACACATATTCCATAATAAGTACATTATTATCTATACCCCTGTAAGTAAACTAATGTACAATGATATCAGTCTAATACTTTGACTATCAATATCAGGATAATTACTAGCTAAATCTTTAAAATTTACAAGGATTAAGCAATACTTAACCAATCTTCTAGGTGTATTTATATCACGTTTGATTGCAGCATCCCCATTGTGATTATATTCCAGCGCAGCAAGTGGATTTCCATAGATTTTTATTTCTGAAGACGGCAGTTCCATTGGATATGTGAATGTATACGACGCAGCCGGAAACCTTCGGAGAAGCTCCGATGAGCTTGGATTTCTTTCTATTTACTCTCTACATCTTCTCCTTTTCGTTTTTTTTCTACCCTCCCAATGCCAGGAAAGCGCAAATCTGTTCAATACTACATCAATGCTGTTGATGCGTTCGCTGAACCCGGTCCATTCGCATTTCAATGTTCCACCCCCTACTACCACCACTACACTACGCTTCATCCCTTATACGATTTCATTAAAATTTATGATGAGGTAGATTGTTCTTTTCCAACGCAATAATGTTTTATCGACGACTCGCGATGCTCCCCTAATTGCAATTCCTAAATTGCTGATATCGCATTCTTACGGTGCCAAAGGATGCAACACGTCTCCAGACCAATTTGACAGTGGAAAAGCTGTATATCAAAAAGGGAATTACTTTCCAACCCGCTGCTCAGGTATAATGAAACTTTTTTTTATAGAAAAATGTTGCTTTTGTTCAAAAGTAAACAAAATGTGTATATTTTTTTGTAGTTTGCATTTTTAAAAAGAGCACTTCAATTTGCATTCCCTGCATTTTTCATCATTTATTTGGAATGTTAAATAAACACGTGCTAAAATAAACACAATTATCGTACATAATATAATGAATACACACTATTATAATTGGATATACTTCTTTTTTTTTATTTTGCCCTTTTCATGTTACATAAAACAAATGAATAATCTGCATACTGATGTTA